TGTCCAAACTCTTTGCAAGTTGTTCCCCTCTAGATCATCTGGTAGCAGTTCTGCAATACTGTATGTTTTCAATAGCAAAGAATCGGCTTCTGTAAACTGTTGGACAGTGATAGTAGAACTAACCTGTCTAAAGCGAAGCTCCTTAAGGACCTTTATCTCCTCCCTCAATGGTCAAGCCTGCTAAAGCATCGTAATCTCTTCCTCTCACACTGCAGCAGGTTGACGGCCGTTTCATTTGTAGCAAACTTGGAGAGGTTGGAAAGATTCCAGTTCAGATTAATGACATCAGCGGTGGTCCATTACTTTAGCTGGTCTGACTTCCTCCCCGTCCTAAATAACTTCACTGTTGTCAATTCTTACAGTATAGATTCAGATTTATCAGAGTATAAATATATATATATATATATATATTTTACAATTTATCACATACAATCACACTTCTTTTTTTAGAATAGAATAGAAATCCCTTTATTGTTTCACAATGGGGAAATTCTGATGTTTACAGCAGCACAAAGATTGTAGAAAATAATGGTCACACAAATTAGGACCTTAGAAAAATGTATAAGAATAACATAACAGTGAAGAGTTAAAAAATAAACAAATAAAATACTGTACTGTAAAGTTTTTTAACAATATAAATACCATGTACCTGGAGAATAAATAACCAACATGCAGCTATGGACATTTTTACAGTAATGGATGTTTGACAATAGCAGCAACATTAGAGATGTGCAGAATGACAGCAGCAGGTTATTAAATTGACTAAGTTTGAAACTGTGCAAAATTAGCGTGAATGTAACAACTTATTGAGGTTTTTGGGAACAGTGGTGGTTCTAGAGTCTTCCAGCTGATAGGAGGAAGGATCTGTTCTAATGCTCACTGGTGCATTTAAGGTACAGCAGTCTGTCACTGGAGGAGCTGTCCATTTCAGCACCAGCTTCATGCATGGGGTGGGAGACATTATCTAACAGAGATGTTCATTTAGTTAGATGTGAGTTTTATTAATGAAAAAAAAAGTGTCTTGCTTCAATTTACTACTTTGACTTCATAAAAACAATCCTGTGAAACCAACGCCTTCAAATGATTAGTAAATAAAACAACTTTAAGATTACTAACCACCAATTTTAAAACCATGATACATATTATTAAAGTAGCATTAATAAGAGAAACACTCTGTGGCAATTCTGGAGGAGCTGAGGTGGTCAGGTGAGAGAAATGTTTTCTATGGCAACTATTACAATGCTGAGAGCCTGGCCTTCATGGAAGAATAACAAGAAGAGAACCACACTGAAAAAATAACCCTTGAGCAATCTTATTTGTTATTCACCAAGTAAGAGCAAAGCAAATATCGAAAATGGTGCTCTGCTTAGATTAATTATGCTATTGGGACTACATGCAAAGTACCAAAGTGTGGCAGAAAACATTGAATATTACCCCAAAAATCCAGAGTTGCTTTGAAAACAGTTAAAGATTTAAACCTCTGGATGTGGAAAGCTGGTCTTTCTCCAAAAAAATGCAGCTATGATTGCTGCTCCATTTAAAAAAAATATATATATATCCCTGTAAATCCAGGGAAATTTTCCAAACTTTTGTTAGCCTATCACCTAAAATTCAGATAAAATCACTGATTTTGAGAGTTTATAATAAAATATCAATAGTTCTGTAAAGTATTTTACATCTGAAACTGAAATAGTAAATAGTAGCAGAAGTAGTTTGTAAACTTTCTGAGTCAGAAGTTAATGTACAGCTTCTGCTGTTGAAATAACTGGACAATTTGATCATTCTATTAAAATTTTAGACTTTTATAATGTAATTTGATAAC